TGGGTCAACTCTAGTGAGTTGGGTGAGACTACCTGTATTGCTGTGTTGATAAAGTATTTTTTTTAAAGATTTTTTGATGTGGACCATTTTTAAAGTCTTTATTGAATTTATCACAATATTGCTTCTGTTTTATGTTTTGGGTTTTTTGGCTGTGAGCCACGTGGGATCTTAGTTTCCCGACAAGGGATTGAACCTGCATCCCCTACATAGGCTGATTCTTTTTTTTAAAAATTTAATCCTTTTTCATCTTTTTGTTTATCTGTTTATTTTTGGCTGTGCTGGGTCTTCGTTGCTGTGCAGGCTTTTTCTAGTTGTGGTGAGTGGGGGCTACTTTGGTTGTGATGCTTGGGCTTCCTCATTGTGGTGGCTTCTCTTGCTGGGGAGCATGGGCTTGAGGGCTCTTCAGCTTCCGTACCTGCGGCTCCTGGCTTCTAGGACACAGGCTCAAGAGTTGTGGTGCACGGGCTTAGGTGCTTGCTCCATGGCATGTGGGGTCTTCCCGGATCCCTCGAACCTGCGTCTCCTGCATCGGCAGGTGGATTCTTTATCACTGAGTCACCAGGGAAGCTCTGCAGGTAGATTTTTATTTTTCCCTTTCTATATTCTTCATTTCTTTTTAATTCCTCTTTGACTAGGACTTTTTTTAACCACCAGACCGCCAGGGAAGTCCTTGATAAAATTTCTAAGGCAGCGTCCAGAATGGATAGGAAAGAAGAACCACAAATGCCTAATGATGTCTGCTTTGAGTGCAAGGAGGAAGGGAGTGACATGCACAGAAGTTCTAACTCTTTCTTAGATGCAGCAGAAAGCTGACTTTATTAGAGGGGAAAACAGAAGGTTAGAGGATCCATTTGGGTCACATATGTTTCCACTCCTTGGTTTATGTTACAAGAAGTTCTAACTTTTACATCATTATATCATGATGGCAATAACAAAGAATAAGGCAGTGGCTCTATAAACTTAGCTTTTTTTTTTTTAACTTTTGTTTGAAATTCCATTGCACTTTTCCAGATAGTTGGTGGCAAAAAGGACTGACTGTCATTAGGCAGTGGCTTTCCTGATGGCTCAGGAGGTAAAGAACCCCCCTGCAATGCAGGAGACACAGGAAATTTGGCTTGTATCTCTAAGTCAGAAGATCCCCTGGAGTGGGAAATGGCAACCCGCTCCTGTATTCTTGCCTGAAAAATCCCAAGGACAGAACCTGGTAGGCTACAGAGTCGGACATGGCCAAGCACACACACATCATCATCATCAGGCAGTAAAGGTGTCAGGGGCTGGATGGAGGGTAAGCATAAGTGGACAACACAGGTCAGAGGGAAGTGTTTTTGCAGGGTGGTCTTTTTCTGGGTTGGAGTGTTTCTGTGGCTCTAATTCCTAAAGAAATCTCACTGAGCTACTGAATGGTCTCACTTGTATCTCGAAGTTCATTCACCACCCCCATGTGGTTTAAGAAAACTCCTTACATGATCCAGGAACCCACCTGGAGGTTAGCAGTCCTGCCTTGGACTCAGTTACCAATGAGACAGGGAGGGGGTACTAAGACTCCAAACAGCATCACAAGAACAAGATGCAGGCTATCACTTGAGATCAGGAGCTGATCAAACTGGTGCTCAGAGACCAGGCAAGAGCCAAGATGGCCAGAAAACACAAAGAGCCAGAGGCTTTCACCTTCTCCAGTACAGACCAAGCCAGCCAGCTCCCCCACTTCTTCTCCAATCCCCGCCTGTGGCCTGAGCTGCTGGCAAGCCCCATGGGGCACCTACAAACCAGTCTCCCCTCCCTGGGTCCCTGGGCTGGCACAAGGCCACTCTGCACCAACTCTGCTCCAGGCGGGGGAGGAAGCCTGTTCATCTCAGCAGCTACATGGGGAGGACAGGGGCAGGGGCAGGGATGAAACGACTTCCTCCAAGAGGCCTCCGGGGAGTCCTGAGGGCTGGAGCCCACGCTGCTCTGGAGTCAGAACTTGGAGTGGTTTTAAATATTTGCCAATGGTTCATACATGTTACCTCACCACAGACCCAGCTGCCAGCATCTCCAAAAGGTGGGGGAAGCTGAAGAGCTGAGCCACATGCTACGGGAAGCTCCCTTCCCCACTAACTTAGCTATTTCTAAGGAGGATCCCAGAGATCAGTCGTATTGGAGAACTTGGTTGGCCCTGTGTCCACACGCCAATCATTTGTGAGCATGTAGAACTTAGGCTAGAAAGATACAGGAGAGAGATAAAAGGGCTTTCCTGACTCTGAAAGTGGCTAAAGTCTTAATTCGGGATTTTCTCACCTCTGTAAATCTTGAAAGAGGAAGAAACCCTCTTCTCTCTGGATAATTTCCATCTGTGTTCCAGGTGGCATGAGGGTGGAAATCATGAGCCCTGGAAAGACCTTTGTCATCCGAATTATTAAGACCCTGCCTTTTTATGATATACTTTTTGTTTGCTTGTTTAAAGATCTAGGTCTTTGTTTTATGTGGCAACCAAGGCTACACGAGGGGCTTTCCTGATAGCTCAGTTGTTATAGAACCTGCTTGCAAGGCAGGAGACCCCAGTTTGATTCTTGGGTTGGGAAGATCCCCTGGAGAAAGGATAGGCTACCCACTCCAGTATTCTTGGGCTTCCTTTGTGGCTCAGCTGGTAAAGAATCCACCTGCAATGTGGGAGACCTGGTTTTGATCCCTGGATTGGAAAGATCCCCTGGAGAAGGGAAAAGTTACCCACGCCAGTATTCTGGCCTGGAGAACTGCATGGACTGTATAGTCCATGGGGTCACAAAGAGTCGGACATGACTGAGTGACTTTCAGTTTCAAGGCTACATGAAGCACAGCAAATAGGATTTGTCTTGTACATCAAGTCCTAGTAACTGGAAGGAGATGCCTATTGTGCTGTGCTAACATCCCAAGGCCAAGTCGAGGTCCTCAGGAAAAAGCAACGATGGCTTAGCAGTGGCTGCTGTGGGTGAAGAAGGTGGTGGGTGGTGTCACATACGTGACACCTCTGAGTTAAGTCATGGGACACCTCTCAGATACTAAACAGGGTTAAGTTCTTAAGGGTCTGGAAAATGGACAATTAACTGGCTCAGAAGGTAAGATTTCATTATCAGTGGTTTTTTCCAAAGGAATCAGTCATGTTGCTGCCTCCAAGACACATTGATTGAAGATGTCGCCTTTTAACTTCCTAGAAAAAGCCAATGGTAGCTGTCTATTCTCTCTCCTGTGTGTTGGGTTCTGAGGGTTTGGCTCCTGGATCCATTCCACTTCCCGGTGGTCTCCTGGCCTAATCTTCTTGGGATCCATTCCCCAATAGGCTGATAGAATGAGCTTTCAAAGTGGAAACCCTGACTATGTCTGTTCCCTTCAGTAGCTCCCATCATTCTCAGGACAATTATTTGCTCCTAGGATGGGTTCACTTTGATCTGGTCCCTGCTTGCCTCTTCACACCCACGCTCCCTCTTCTTCTTGGCACTTTATGTCACAGCCAAGCTCCCTCTGAGTGAAGTGCTCTGCTCCCCTCACAGCAGCCCCACCTTGGACTCACTTAGTCCTTCTCTGGTGACCTTCCTTCTGTCTCCTTTTAGATCAGGTTAAAGGGCCCTTAGAACTTACTCTGTGCTCGTTTTCACTCCATATTGTGATCACTGATTTGTCTGTCTCCCCTGTTAAACCCTGGCTTCCCGGGTGGCTCAGTGGTAAAGAATCTGCCTGCAAGGCAGCAGGAGCCACAGGAGACATGGGTTTGATCTCTGGGTCAGGAAGATCCTCTGGAGGAGGGCATGGCAACCCACTCTAGTATTCTTGCCTGGAGAATCCCGGGGACAGAGGAGCCTCTCGGGCTACAGTCCATGGGGTTGCAAAGAGTCGGACATGACTGAAACGACTTAGCATGCATGCACACCTACTAAATCCTAGGCTCTAGCAGGCAAGAACTATATCTTAATACCTGCATCCAAACCATCAGGGCAATGGATGGCCCATAGGAAGTGCTTGGTACATATATATTAAATGAGTGAATGAATGCAGATTGGGTAGTTTTCCCAAATTCATGAACTGAACAGTGACTCAGCATGGATTATCGCTCATGATCATTGAGCTGACCACCCACTTCCTCACTGTTTCACTTCATCTGCTCTTCCGGCCCTATACGCTGCTTCTCCTAGTAACACTACTTGTTGCGAGAAATTGAGTCAGCCAAGTACCAGTGAGGAACTATGCCAAAATTTAGATATTCGAAGTTGTTGAATTTTAGATCTAGATGAGACCTTTCAGGTTCTCCTGTGTAGCTGAGGTCTGGAAGTCAGAACTAATGCCTCATCCCTCCTCCCACCCTCCCTCCCTCCTTCTTGGAAAATGGAGCAATTGTATTGACTTCTGTAAACATTGTATGACCAGTTTTTCATGGTCCATGTGATGAGTGATACAAAAAGTGAAGAGCGTAAGGGACCCACACTCTGGCCGCAATTGTGCAGCTGTATGCTGTTAATGGATGTGAGAGCTGGACAATAAAAAAGGATGAGTGCTGAACAGTTGATGCCTTCAAATTGTGGTGCTGAAGAAGATTCTTGAGACTCCCTTGGAAGGCAAGGAAATCAAACCAGTCAATTCTAAAGGAACTCAGTCCTGACTATTCATTGGAAGGACTGATGTTGAAGTTGAAATTCCAATACTTTGGGCACCTGATGCAAAGAGCTGATTCATTCAGGAAAAGACCCTGATGCTGGGAAAGATTGAAGGCAGGAAGACAAGGGGATGACAGAGGATGAGATGGTTAGATGGCATCTTTGACTTAAAGGACATGAGTTTGAGCAAACTCAGGGAGATGGTGTAGGACAGGGAGGCCCGGCGTGCTGCAGTCCATGGGGTTGCAAAGAGTCAGACACGACTGCATGACTGAACAACAACAATGCAGTTCTAATTCCAAAATCCCTAAACCTGAAATTTCCTATTTTTTCCCCTGTGTTTTTGAAAAAAAAGTGGGTAGTTGGCTTATTTTGGGGGGCTGTGAGGTGACTCACCTTATGTAGCTGTGTTTTCGTCTCATAGTAGGCGACCACAGGGATGGAGGCCCGGTAGTAGGTCTCAAGGCGCTTGGCGATGGTGGTGGTGTTGTCATCTGTCTGTGGGCTGCTCCGGCTCCTCTGGAGAAGGCGGTTGGTCATGGTGTCTGCTGAGCAGTCCATACAGATCACCAGGTGTGGGTCTCCAATCTGGGGATGGGAGAGGAGGGCACAACATGGTCAGAAATTCTACCCTGCAAGGTTCTGGAAAGGCCTGGGCATGCTAGTTCTTTCCTTTCTTGACCTTCTGCTTTCTCTTGAGGTTCCAGGCCTACAATGTGATAGAGTTGGGACAGGATATCACAGCTCCTCATTTCCAGGTCAGTGACTCTTCACAGAACCACCCTCAGCTTTTAGGTCACCTCATGTAATGGAGGGATTGTGTAGAATGCGGCCCGCTGCTGTGATAATCTGTCCTCCACAGTAGGGGGAGGGCTGTGTGTGTGAGATACTTCCTGCTGTCAGCCTGTCCTGATTTATGGAGGCAAGTTAATTACCTCTTCCTTTGTCCACCATTATATCTTATACCAGCCACCAAGAGCACAGTGTGGCTGCGTCTTGTCCTATGTGGAGGTCAGTAGAGCATAGTGGTTGAGCATACAAAGGTTGGAGTCAGGCTGCTTAGGGTCAAATCTTGGTGTAGCGACTTGTCTCCGAGATGGTCTTCACTGGTTCCTTGCCTCAACTTACTTCAAGCTCTTTAAGCATTGAGACATGGTGACTGTTCTTCTACCTACTTGCATCTGAGCTGAACTGTATCTATTTTGACAGACAGACTATAGTGAAAATGATGTCACCGAATTTTGGAAGCAAGATCATAAGAAGTTTTGCAGTTCCTGCCTGATCAACCACCATCGAAGATGTCCAATGACTCTCACTGATAAGCTGGGAGGAAGCACAAGCTAGCCTCTTCGAGAGGCCATTTGGACAGAGATGACTGACCAGTCCTTGGCTGATGCAGACATCCTGGCCTCTGCTCCAGACCTGTCTATTTAGTCTTACCCACCATTTGACTGCAACAGAATAATGGAGCCCATCAACCCCCAGAAACCTATTAGAGAAAATAACAAATTAAGTTACTAACTGTGTCTCTCAACTTCTCTGCTCCCCAACTTTCTCATTTGTACGATGAGGATGATCACAGAATTGCTGTAAGAATTAGATGGCTCAGTGGTAAAGCACTGCCTGCCAAGCAGGAGATGCAGCTTTGATTCCTGGGTCAGGAAGATCCCCTGCAGAAGGAAATGGCAACCCACTCCAGTATTCCTGCCAGGAGAATTCCATGCACAGAAAAGCCTGGCAGGTTACAGTCCATGGGTCTCAAAGAGTTTGACATGACTCAGTGACTAAATGGCCGCAGCAATGTAAGCAGATTGCTTAGGATAGAGCAAACCATAAGCATCAGCTACTATGCTTACTGGAGTCCCAGGCGGCTCAGTGGTCAAGAATCTGCCTGCTAGTGTAGGAGACACAGGAGAAGTGGATTTGATTCCTCAGTTGGGAAGACTCCCTGGCAGAGGAAATAGCTACCCACTTCAGTATTCTTGTGGAGAAAATCCCATGAACAGAGGAGCCTGGCAGGCTACAGTCCATGGGGTTGCAAAAGAGTCAGACACAACTGAGTGACTTAGCATGCATTATGCTTATTTCCCATAAGAGCTACAATCTGTGTTCAGGGGTTAGGAATGCTCAGCTCCTGGCCCCAAGGCCAAGGAAGAAATGGATAGACAGGAAAGTGAAGCGCTGAGCGCTACCACGATTCTAAGAGGTTGACTGCACAAGGACAGTAGCTGGAAGCAGCCCATAGGGAGAAGGGGTAGGGCTTGGAGGCGGGGCGGGGAGGGGCGCAGAGGGGGTGTGCAGAGTGACTGAGGCATGGGTATATCCAGCCTTATCCAGTAGGTAATAAATAAATTTTTTTCTGAATGAAAGATAGTGATACGATCAGTAGCATGACTCTCCATCTCCTCATCCTTCCCTTAAAGTCTTCTTTTGCTTCTGATGCCTCTGGAAGACACCAACCTTGCCTCCACTACCAGTCCCAACTCTGGATCAAAAGAAACTGTTGCTCCCTTCTGATCTTGCAGTGTAAATGAAGTCTTACTGCCCACCATGGAAAGCCTGGGAGGGATGGGAACAAAGCCAGGGTGTTGTTCCATGATATATCTACCCACTCTGAAGGAAGTACTTTAAGGAACAGAGTAGAAAAGTTCTCCAAAATCTAAAAGGGTGAAATAAAACTCAGGAACATGTCATCTAATTTTTCTGACTTTATTAATTGGAAGAAAAAAATAGAGCATTCGAGCAGTATGGAAGCTGGGTGAAAAGTTTAGAAGACAATGACCTGTGTCCACCAGCAGAGGGCAAGCTTGAGAGGCAGGCTAGCGTTCAGCTACAGAGTTTGGCTTCTGGAACAGTTTCTGGCTAGGGTCGTGTTTGGAGACTAGGCTATTTTTCTTATTGTGGGGGTTTTCGGGCCACTGGTGGGGACACGAAAGATAATTCCGGGACTCATTTAGGTACAAACAGAGATTATGTGTGTCTGAGCAGGATCTGACCATAAATAAGTGCAGGACAGGGAGGTTGATTCCACCCAGAAAGTTTGGGTCGTGGACAAGCAGCTCAGGCTTCATCTGGGAGCTTGTTAGAAATGCAGAGGCTCAGGCACCACTCCCGACGTGCTGAGTCTGCATTTTAAGAAGATTCCCCAGGTGATTCTTCACAAAGTAAGACCTTGAGAAGCTGCTCCACCAAGCCATTTCCTCCTGTCAAGTCTGGGGTTAGACCTGACCTGTCTCTCCTGGAGTCAGCACTCTCGCCTTACATAAAAAGCTATCAAGCAATAATTCTATTTGAAAATGGCCTGTATAGATTTTAAGTTTTAGAAATTTTAAGTGAAGTGAAAGTCGCTCAGTTGTGTCCGACTTTTTGCGACCCCATGAACTATACAGTCCATGGAATTTTCCACGCCAGGATACTGGAGTGGGTAGCCTTTCCCTTCTCCAGGGGATCTTCCTGACCCAGGAATTGAACCGGGGTCTCCTGCATTGCAGGCATATTCTTTACCAACTGAGCTATCAGGGAAGCCCTACAAGTTTTAGGTTTACGTGAAAATTGAGCAGATAATACAGAGTTACCATATATCTCTCCCCATCCCTGGTTTCCCAATTATGTCTTGAAGTTCAGTTCAGTTCAGTTCAGCCGCTCAGTCATGTCTGACTCTTTGCGACCCCATGGACTGCAGCACGCCAGGCTTTCCTGTCCTTCAACAACTCCCAGAGCCTACTCAAACTCCTCCAGGGGATCTTCAGGACCCAGGGATTGAACCTGTGTCTTCTACATCTCCTGCAATGGCAGGAGGGACATCCCAATGAAACAATACTGAAATGTTAACTAAAGTCCATAGTTGACACTAAGGTTCATTCTTTGTGTTGTGTATTCTATGGTTTTTGACAACTGAGTTATGTCATGATTCATCATTATAGTAATGATATGTAATAGTTTCACCCTTCTAAAAATCTTCTGGGCTCTTTCTATTTAATTCTTCCCTCTCCCTCCTCCCTAACCCTGCAACTACTGATGATTTTACTGTTCTATAGAATTGCCTTTCCCAGAATATCACATTGTTGAACTCACAGAGTGCACAGCCTTTTCAGGCTGGCTTCTTTCATTTAGTAATGTGCATTTAAGTTTCCTCAATGTCCTTTCATGGTTTCAGAGCTCATTTCTTCCACTGATGCTTCTAATGCCTGAAAGTTTTTGAAAGATTTGAATGAAACACCACTTAATTATTTTTCAAAATGCTTTGGTATATTCCTTTAGAAAGTTCCTTGGAGTAGCTCTGCCTCTTTTTCCCTGGACCATGGTTAGCCTCTAATGTCCCATGGGTGGGAGGGCAGAGAACTCAGTCCTTGTCTGGATGAACCATAGAGACTTATGGATAACTCCATGTCCCTAGTGCCCACTCCCCTGCTGGCTCCCTGGAATTCTGCCCCCAGCAGCATGGCGTTCTTCATGGTCTTTAGGTATTCAGGAGACGCTTATCAGAGCACACATGCCCTTGAAAAGGCATTGAGATGTGTAAGAACATTTCAGCAGCTGACATATTGTGCCATCCTGCTAACAGGGGAGGAAATGGAGGCCCACGTAGGTCAACTTGCCCAAGATCACTGAGGACTAGTTAGTGACAGTTTTGAGTCTGCTGTGCGTAACTCCAAAGCTTGGTGACTTCATCCTAGTGGAGGGTGCCAGAGACTTCAGAATGGGACTCAAGCCAGATGCCTGGTGGGCTGAATGGAGCTGGGAGAGGAGGTGGGGCAGGAAAAGAAGTGGACGGTATCAGAGGCCATTTCGTTTTATTTTGCAAACTTGCTCATGCTGTCTCTGGGGCTCTAATGGGGATGAGCACTCACCCTGACTGAGAGCAGCCAACCAGGATGAGGATGTCAGCTGACTTGTGATGATAATTTCAGCAGGTGGAGCAGGAAGAGGCATTTACCCTCCCTTCTCTGCCAGGGAATAGCAACCTACTCCAGTATTCCTTCCTGGAGAATCCCTTGGACAGAGGGACCTGACGAGCTATAGTCCACGGGGTTGCAAAGAGTTGGACACGACTGAGCAACTAACGCGTTCACTTTCAGGGCTCCCCTGGTGATTCAGATGGTAAAGAATCCACCTGCAACGTGGGAGACCTGGGGTTTGATCTCTGGGTCAGGAAGATACCCTGGAGTAGGAAATGACAACTCACTCCTGCTTTCTTGCCTGGGAAATCCCATGGACATAGGAGCCTGGCGGGCTACAGTCCATGGGGTCTCTAAGAGTTGGACACGACTAAGTGACTAAGCATTCGTAAACAGAATCACTGACTCTGTAGATGAAAAGTGTCATGAGACAGTTAAGAGCAGTGAGGCAGAGGGATATACTATCATTATCCGCACATCCAGGAAACTCATCTTTGTAGTCAGGTTAAGTGCAGAATTTAGCTAAGAACCTCCTGGGAGGGAAAGGAAAGAGCTAACCCGTGCATTTTACTTCTGTTAATATGTGTTTAGTTTGGCTGCTGTAGAGTAAATGTTGAGTTAACAGGAAAGCGTTTCGTTCTCCCTATAGGGAGTCAGGCTGAGTACACACCCTCCTTGAGATGATAATAA